AAAAAACCAATAAATTTGATGATGATGCATTGCATACAGTGGGAGGAGAAGAAGAACAAGCGGAATCATCAGTGGAAGATCCAGAGGACGACTCTGATTCTTAGATTATTAGATTATGCTTTTTTTTACATTTCTTATTGTTCCAGTTTCTTCTCTGATTCTTGATTTCTTGTGCCTGAATTAGATCTGTGTCTATGTAATCATCCAACTCCCTCAAACTATTAGCTTGTTTTTTTTTTTTACCGGGAATCTTGGTCCAGATTAAACCATACAAATCCAAGTCAAAACCAATACAACGAAATTGAAATCATGTTCTTCCAACTACAAAAACAACAATGTTTTTGAAACAACAATGCTCGACCACATTAATGAAGGTTGTTGTTCAATTGTTGCAACTTGGACTAAGATCGTTAACCTAGACTAGACCAAATAAAGGTATTTGGAATCAAAGAGAGTATCGACAACACACATCCAAACCAAATCATTGTTGTAGTATAATGAACAAACAAATCTGTAAAGGAACCTCGAAACCTACCACAAAAGCATCTCGTTCTAAAAACCGAGGTAAGTGAAGTCAACCCACAAAGCCCTAAACTGTCTTCTTCCGGTGTCGTGTCTGAATGTGTGCGACGGGAACATACGGCCGAACATGTAAGTGCCAACAAGCCGCGTGTTGCTGTCGAAGTCCAACGCATCATCTTCATATTTTTCAACAGAGCAGGGGCTTGTTTTAGCATGTTCTTTCATCTTGCGTCTGTTTCTGGACAGATTTGGCTTGATCATGTCAAGGCGACCTTGATAGTTCTCGTCAGTCACATACATTCCGTGGATCGAAACCAAAGCCGAAGTAAGAGATTTCCCAAGTCGGTTTCCCTCATTGGAGTTTGAGCAAAATCACCTTGCATCTTTTCCGAGACAGAGAATTCTACAAGAACTGGTTAGGTATGTTTTCTATGTACTTTTTAAGTCTAGATTATAGCTAGATTATATGGAGACCGGTCATATTCTTCTTTCTGGATTATGTAGTGTCATATATCTCTAGTATACAAGTGCTTACTGTTAAATTAAATATAGTATTACTATAAGAACAATTTTTGTACAAACAAACTTTGGAGATGCGCAAAACACATTTTACATGTGTATTCTTTTGCTAGTGAAAATTTTTAAACAACCATTAAGTTATGACACTGATTTTTTTTTGTTTGAAGATAGTAATACTAAGATAGAAAAAAGAAAAAAAATACAACACGCATGATCAAACAAAAGTCAAACTAAGTTATAGTAGTGGTAATAATGGTGGTGATGAAAATGATGAGAGACTCAAGCAATTTCACTTTTGCTGTGGATTTAGTTTTGGCTGTGAAAAAAGCTTGCATTTTGATGAAATATAAAGATGTAAATTGCAATCCGGTTAACACAATAACAACAACAAAACATTGGAAAATTTTATGTGCTTTTGAATCTTTGAAGCATTGGTGAATATGATTAGTGACATTCTCTTGTCTTGATTATCTGATCTGTAAATTCGTGAACTAATGAACTGACTAACTACATTTGTAAATTTTGACCGTAATTGGATTCAGAAAGTGTAAGTAAATTACTAAATCGTGATTATTTTATCATGATCCACTAAAAATAGACACCAATTCACTAAAATTATACAAGTTTAGATACCTTAAATTTCTCTCCTTTAATTATTTCAACATTTGGAAATAAAAAATAAGAAATAAAAAAATGCTTTACTTATCCCTTCCGTTATCCTGATGTGAATTCTGGCAGCTCCTAGAAACAAAATTTCTCTAAATTCTGGTTTGGCCTGGTGATGTTGGAAAACGTGCTCATAGACTTCAATCAAAGGATTGGGAAACCTTTCATAGAAATATCTCTGAACTCCTAGAGGATTAGTATCCAGCAGGCTCTGCACATCATTTAAGAAATACAAAGATTAGGAAAATATACAAAGAAAAACTCAATGAAGACATTCCTTATTATTCGAATGCCTGAAAACATACCTTAACATCCCCATGAGCCTCACCATAATGGACATCGGTATTTCTCACTAGATCCAACAGTTGCATAGGGTTTATGAAGATGTAGGTGGGAGTTAACTTTTCGGGGTCTTGGAGATAATTCACAAACGCTGGTTCAAATTTCGCCATCCCGGACGGGCTATTTTCCATGATAGCTGATTTGTTCCGGTTCATGTCCCCACCATCATGTCTACTACATTGTTGTACCACACATACAAACCTCATTCTCTTTGCACCAACCCAAAAAAGAGGATGGATTAAACTGGAAAAGACACAAAAAATGCATTACATATTAAGCACAAATTTAACCTACACAATTCAAAATCATATATGATATTTACCGTTTGTTCGATCGTCCATTAATAGTTCGTTGATGAGATGTAATGCTTCTGAAGGTATACCTTGTGACTCGTACTGAAGTTTTTATCCCTGATATTCTCGACAAAGTCCGTCCCATGTGCATCACCAAATGGGTTTGCACCACAAATCACATAATAATTTAAACATCCCAGATTGAAACAGTCAATAGCGTAACTCTCATCTTCGTTCCGTAACTGTTCCGGAGCAACCCAATAACCAGTATTCTTGTCATAAGGTAAACATTTTTTTTCACCAAGAAGTTTACTCTTCTCGAACCATGTAATCTTTGCAATTACAGCCCCTGAATCACGAAGAACAATTCTGATAGAATCCGGTTGCAAACTCCTATGAAATTAAATATAGTAATACTATAAGAACAATTTTGTACAAACAAACTTTGGAGATACAAAAACAAATTTTACATGTGTATTGTTTTGTTAGTGAAAAATTTTAAACAACTATTAAGTTATGACATGATCGTTTGAAGATAGTAGTACTAAGAGATAGAATAAAAAAAAATTACAACACGCATTAAACAAAAGGCAAACTAAGTTATAGTAGGGATAATAATGGTGGTAATGAAGATGGTGAGAGACTCAAAACAATTTCACGTTTGATGTGGATTTAGTTTTGGGTGTGAAAAAACTCGCGTCTTGATGAAATTCAATGACGTAAATCGGAATCCGGTTAACACACCAACAACAACAAAACATTGGAAAATTTTATGTGCTTTTAAATCTTGGAAGCACTAGTGAATATGATAAGTGACTTTTTGTTATCATGATTATCTTATGTGTAAATCATTTAGTCTTTGGTAAACTAATGAACTAAAGAGCTGCATTTGTCAATTTTGATCGTAATTGGTTTTGGAAAGTGTAAATAAATTACTAAATCCTTATTATATCATCATCATCCGACTAAAATAGACACCAATTCACTAAAATTTAGTACCTTAAAAAAATGTTATGTCTTTAATTATTTCAACATTTGGAAATAAAATTCTACATGTGTATTGTTTTGTTAGGGAAAATTTTCAATCAAATTTTACATGTGTATTATTTTGCTAGTGAATTTTTTTAAACAACCATTAAGCTAGGACATGGGTTTGAAGATAGTAGTATCAAAAAAATTACAAAACGTCTGATTAAACAAAAGTCAAACTAAGTTATAGTAAGGATAATAATGGCACTCATGAAGATGGTGAGAGACTCAAAACAATTTCACGTTTGAAGTGGATTTAGTTTTGGGTGTGAAAAAACTTGCATTTTGATGAAATTCAATGACGTAAATCGGAATCCGGTT